GAGGTTTGGTGAATGATGCCTTTGGAAGCAAAAAATGAGTTCGTGGAAAATTCAAGGCCATCGTCAGTACGTAAGATCTGAAGTTTGGTATTAAATTGTGTTTCAATAAGAGAGATGAAAGTAAGTAAATGTTGGCGAGTTTCAGATTTAGCAGACATCAAATAAGTCCAAGTATAACGACTAAAATCATCAACTAAGGTAAGAAAATATTTATGGCCATGAATAGAAGGAATATGAAAGGGACCCCAAATATCAGCATGAACTAACTGAAAAATTTTATTCGATTGAATAGTGTTTATAGGAAAAGAGAGCTTCCTTTGCTTAGTAAAATGACATGTATCACAAGGAGAAGTGTTACAATCAATAAAACGATATTGATGATGAAGTATAGATAAAGTGGAATGCGAAAGATGACCTAAACGAAAATGCCAAAGATTACACGAAGATGAACTTAAAGAAGTAGAAACAGAAGCAGCAAAATGAGAACCTGAGACTTCTTGCCATAGTAAGTAAAGACCATCAATCACCTCAGCTATACCAATCATCCTCCAAGGAGTCATCGCCTGAAAATAACAAAAAGAATGGCAAAAAAATAAGGCAACAATCAAGATGAAGAGTTGTTTTGGTAACAGAAATGAGATTACATTTAAACTCAGGAATGAAGAAGACATCATGAAGGATAATGTCATCAGAAATACAAATGGTGCTAGCAATAGTAATAGTGACACAAGTACCATTAGGAAGATTAATCAATATAGGAGGAATAGAATGATAAGAGGAGAAGAGGTCAAGAGTAGAACAAATATGATCTATGGCACCAGTGTCAACAATCCAAAATAAAACTGACTTGTATTAAAAGGAGAGGGAATAAGAGGAGCAGTAGAAACATGATTTAATGAATGAGTAGAGGAAGAGGGAGGAGCCGATTGTACCAAGCTGATAAGTTTTCAATATTGTTCAGGTGTAAAGCTATAGTGCTGTTGAGCAACGAGAGATGGAGTAGGTAAAATGTCATGTGCATCAGATACAGAAATCTCAGGTACAACAGCTACATTATGGACAACTAGAGAATTGCGAAATTTAAAGCCTGGTGGATAGCCGTGCCTTTTGCAACAGGTTTCAATGGTATGTCGTGAATTTCCACAATAAGTGCAAACTTTATTCTGAGACTGAGACTTGGAAAAAGACTGAAGAGGTCAAGAAGGTTCTTTCGCTGCCAAGAGAGCCTTGTGTTCAAGACCAAAGGTTTGTTCACGTTCTTGCTGAGTAATGAGGTTAAACACTTCGCTAATCGGTGGAAAAGGCTTGAGAAGCATGATTCGGGATTTTGCAGTAGCAAAATGATCATCGAGGCCCTTGAGAAAGCGAATTACAAAATCTTGATCCTGATAAGTACTAGCACATGTACTAGCACCACAAGAACAAGCAAGAACACAAACGCAAGATTTAATAGGTTGAAGATTAACAAATTCATCCCATAGCACATTCAATTTAGTAAAATACTCACTGATCGATAGATAGCCCTGTTTGAGCATGTAAATTTACTCTTGAAGTTCAGCAATCCGAAATGCATCTCTTTGAGAAAACCGATCACAAGGATCATTCCAGATATCATGGGCACAATCAATCCACATGATACTTTCAGCAATGGTCGGAGAGATAGATTGAGTCAACCAAACCTGAACCATTGTATCACACCGTTCCCAGGCCGAATGAAGTGGATCTGTCAGAGAAGGACAAGGAAGAGTGCCATCGACAAACTTGAGCTTGTTCTTGGAGAGAAGGGCCATCCGCACGCACGTGACCAGGGATGATAATTGGAACCAATGAGAGCAGGAGTAACGAGCACAAGCGCCAGATTTCCATTGGGATGCAAGTAGTAACGACTGGCCGAATTAAGTGCTGCATCGGAGAAGGGCAGGGTGACCGAAGAAAAACCACTGGAAGTACTCATGAAAGAGAAGACGGCAAAACCGAGATGAGAAGGCAAGAAGGAGAAAAGAAGCAGAGAAAGGACAGAAACGACGAAGCAGACGAGATTTGCTCTGATACCATATCACGTGTTTGCTCAGAGAAGTGAGAAAAGTAATTGCATTAACATGCTCTAAAAGTACAATGTATGTTGGTGACTTGGTGTATATACACACTTATTCTCTAACTAATTACTATTATTTACTTAACAATAAATAAAACAGATTAACTGAAGTATGTCATTGCAATTCTGAAGCAAACTATTTCACATCCCCTATTATACATGTCACCTCAATCATTCAAGTCCACAACATTTTAAATTCGAATGCCTAATAGTGCCTCTTTAATTCCCTCACTTCTTTTAGCTATATATTATACTTGGGGAAAACACAGTTTCGATCTTCAAACTTTCACCTAACTTTCAATCTGGTCCCTCTGTTTTTAATCGCTATTTATTCAGTCCTTAACAACCAATATTTTACGCCTCGTAATCAGTTATCAATAAATTTTCCGTTTGTTTGGTCCTTATTTGTTGATCATTGGTTTATTACTTTCAGTAGTGTTACATTACATGTAAGGAATAAACCTAAATAGATTCTTTACTCAACCTTATCCACCTAACCTAACCCCACTTTTCTTGAATTCCTAAAAGAGCATTAAGAAGAAATTATTAAATAACAATTCTCCTACTAAACTGTAGATGAGATTATTCTTTTTAGTTCCTATAACTTCACTTAATTCTTGATTTTTTTTTATAATTTAACATTTTATATTTTGGTACCTATAATTAAATTGATCTTCAAATTAACTAGTGATTGTCATTGTGTGTGTGTGTGTGTGTGATCTTTATATTCTTTTTCTATTACGCAAGCGCTGAAGTATTTTTCTGGTCATTATTTGAACAAATGGAATCAGTATCAATCAAATCATGGCATACACAAAATTGATATTCCCATAAAGCATACACACGACTAATTAAGTGTAAGTGTGTGATTATGTATACGATGCAGTGAATCAAGGTCTGGCAACTTTGGCATATTTTTGGAGGAGCAGTGAATCTGGTGCTGTTTCTGACAAGGATTTTGGAACAAGGCAACGCAACTCACTTGTGGATCACATTCGACCTAGCAGACCGAGGATATGAAGGATGTGTGTTTTTGAATTAAAAATTATAATTGAAGTTTGGATTTAATTGAAGTTAGTAAATTAAGGTTAGAAGAAAATTCAGTTGATGTTACATAATTTTTATTTGAATATCATTTTTTTTAAAGTCAATGAGATAAAATGAAATTCGTTTGGATGGTTTAATTCAAAAGCTAGTTGAAATATTTAATGGTAAAAATAAACATGAGTTTTTTATCTTAAATATTAAATCTTAAATAAGCATGTTTATATTTTTTTGACTAACTAATAAATAAAAAATGTTAAACTTAAAATCACAACTAATAAGTAAAATATCTTAAATATTCAACCATGAAAATCTAAAATAAATTAATATTTAATTGATATAATTTACAAGTTGATCTTTAATTATATCACGAACACGCTGCATCTGTCTTGATGATCTGGGTAGATTTGACGAGAATGCTTCACCAATTTCGATAGCTTCCTCCTGGACTTCTACACTTTCATCTTTAGCTTGTATGAACTATTCGTCAATAATTGAATTTCTCCTAATAAAATTATGTATTGTCATTGTTGCACAAACAATTTGAACTTGTGTTTTATATTTAAATTTGGACATTTTTTGTATAATTGCAAACCTATTCTTCCACACTCTAAAAGTTCTTTTTATAGTGCATCTTAGACTTGAATGATAATAATTGAAGACCTCATCATTATTTGCAAATCCTGCAACTCGCCTAAAGTCTGGAAGGTGATAACGTTCACAACGATATGGACCAAGATACTCATTTAGTGTTGGATAACTAGAATCAACCAAATAATATTTATCTATTAAATGAAACGAAGTGATGTAAATTTGACCAACATTAAATCAATGCAATAATAATTATAGTGACTTTAATAAAATATACCTGGAGGTGGATGCGAAAAATGCATTGAAGGAGTTGATATGGCATTATCAAATACTCGAGCATCATGAGCCGTACCTTCCCATCCCGCAATGACAAAAGTAAAACACATGTCCCAATCATATATAGCCATAACATTCTGTGTTGCATATCCCTTTCTTCCAATAAATTTGATTTGATTAGCAACATTAACCACGCATGGCATATGAGTGCCATCAATTGCTCCTATAGCATCCTTAAAGAATGGCCAATGCTGTAGATCATTTTGAATTTTTGAATGATATTGTTGAAACAAAGGATCGAGTGGCTTTATGTTTGTCTTGGAAAGGTTAAGGCAGGTATCTAATACTTTATGAAAATTTCTATGAACAATTTCCCCTGAATGCTGAAATCATTCCTATATCATCCTATTACCAACTCCATGTCCAACTGTATTTAAAAACATTTCAACCATTTCTTCTACTCCCATTTTTTTAGATTTCTTAGACTAAGATCAACTAGTGTCGCACACAGTTGCCTAAACAAATATTTTTCCTTTTGAAACATTTCATAACAACGATCAGGATGACCTTGTAAAATCTCATTGACCCACATTTGTCCTGTTTGCATGCTAGTTCTCCATGGCTTTTTACACACATATGGCATCACATATTCACTAACTAATTGACATATTTCTTCTTGTTCCGTTATATCTTGCTGTAACAAGGGAAGTAGTTGATGAGCCACATTTACATCTCAACCTTCATTCCAACCTAACATATATTCATTCGAATCTTTCATGATTTTTAAACCTGAGGTAAAATAGTATGTAAATATCATTTGTATATAATATAAAGTACATAGTATATAAATATCATAAAAGATAAAGCATAAGATAAACATTAGATAAGAGTTAAATATTCACTATAAACCAAGTCATCATTTGCAAATTATAAGTCAAAATAAAGCAACTACAAGTCAAACACAAGTCAAGTCATCATAAGCCTAGATAAAAATTCATCCAGATGTATTTTTTGAAATCCAATCTGGTGGATGGTAAACTTGGTGCTTCAACCAATTGACCAAGTAATTAGGATGATCTTTAAGTTGCCAGTAAGCATCTCGCATAGACTTGTACAGAACAAGATTGACATATCTCCAATGTATATCTTTATCACCAAAAACTTCTGGGAGTCCATTTAGGTGAGCCACAACCTCAGAAACTCCGATGTCATTTGCTAAAATCTTGTTCACTGTCTCTGTTCTTGCTCTATTATCCTTAGCCATTTCACTCATCGCATCTGCTATTTTTATTGAGGTAGGGACTTTTTGCTTTTTCCTCCCACCAATGCTTACAACCCTCTTTCTCTTGCCTTGACTTCCGTCACCACTGGTTTTACCAGTATTTGTGGTCACATTCAAGCCCAACAGCTCATCGGTGACCCCTGTAGGTGCTGCAGTGTTAGATAAATTTAGTTCCTCTTCACTATCACTGGAGCCTTCTCGAAGGTCAATAGTAGGGCAGTACACATCCTCATCGTCATCATCCTCTATTTGGGTTTGGGTAACAGATGGTACAAAAAGTGTCTCTCCAGTTACCAGGACATTCTTGAATATCAAAGTTAATTCCCTTGCAAATCTCAAACCTTTATATCTAAATTTTCATAAAGGGGATTTTCCTGCAACCATTCAAATAACCAACAATTAAAATTCTCAAATTAAATTCTTAAAAACACTTAACAACTAATCCATACCAAGATTTTTCACTCCCACCACTCATCTAGAGCATCAACAGTATTCTTGTCACTGTCTCATCCTAAGCTGGTTTCACTTGAAAACAACTTATGCCATACATTTCATTCTTTCTTCATGTTATCTAGCTATTTTTCAATTGGTTTCGCTCATACCTTTTTCCTGTTTTTGCCTCAAACCCCTCAATTATTGCTTACCACCCATTTTTGTTGAAAGTAGTTCCCTTCCTTTGTTTCTTGTACACTTGCTCCAAGCATTCCTTATTGAAAATTTCTGTCAAGATTGAATTCCACACAGCTTTTCCATTGTCGCTATTCATTGTTCTATAAACTAGCCAACCATCACAAACATGTAAAATTAATATATATCTCTACATATATGTATCCTTGAAAATGAATAGGGGATTGTAATGAGATCTCAAGCTTTCAAGAATATTAGCTACAGTCATCTCCCTTAATAAACCTAGCTAACTCCTAATTTCTCTTATCCAATTAGACTAACATTAAGAAACAGATTTTAGAATCTTTAAACTTTAAAAAGAATAAATTAAGAAAATAAATATGTAATATAATAAATTGTAAGAAAAAATAATCTAATTAGTACATTAAAATATGACATGCATGCGTTTTCCAGGAAGCTATGTACACTAAATTTTTTTACAGGAAGCTACGCTTAAATAAATATGTACACTAAATTTCCAGGAAGCTATGCTTAAATAAATATGTACACTAAATTTTTTTCCCTTCTATCTTTGCAATCCCAACCATTTATTTGTTGATAATGTATAGATTTCTAGGATTGTAAAATAACCATGGATGATCCAAACATTCTCAAAATTTTCTAAATCCATGTTAGAAAGTATGCCTTTATTCCTTCTATCAAAGCAAGAGAAATCCATGTTAGAAAGCTATTTTCGTACTGCATTATAGAAGAATCAATTCGCACAGCATGCATGCGTTTTCCAGAAAGCTATTTTTACCTTTTCAAGAATATCATGAGCTTTCAACTCACCAAAAAATAAAATGAACAGGGAATGAATGAACAAGGGATTGCTTTTAGATTTCAAGCTTCCATATTCATCTAACAGCATTATAATAACAATAACTTTAGTTCCAGAAGATCGGCCGTAAAAACAAGCATTATAACAACATTATCAGTCTTTCATACACGCACACATGCAGAGCATGACAGATCAAGAAAACAAAAAATAGCAACTCAGTTCCAAAAAAAAAAACACAACTCTTCCTCTGCTCTAAGATAAACGAAATAGGGGATGGAAAATAAAGAGGAGACCAAGCACAGATCAGTTCTGGAATAGCAGAGGACAACAAGCCATGAAAATAAAGACCAGTAACTCGAGTTCAAAAAAAAAGCCAAGTCTTCCTCTGCTCTAACGTAAACAAAACAGGGGATGGAACGTAAAAAGAATAACAAGCATTATCAGTTCTGGAATAGTAGAGCACGACAGGTCTAAGTAAAAATAGTCTTCAAAGAATGAAGAGCAAAACACGACAAGAAGGAAGCAAAGACAGAGATGAAAAAAAGAATGACATTACTTGACAGAGACAAGCGATAGAGAGCAGATCTGGTGATGGGAAGTATAGATTCGATGGACACAATGGAGATCGAGAGGCAATAGGAAGAAGAAGCACTTTGAAGTAAGGTGGACGCTAGAAAAGACAGTAATGAGCTGGAGATCGGTTGGACGCAGATGACTGGAGCTAGAAATTGGCCAGAAGGAGCAAATGACTAACAGAAGGAGGCAGATCTGAGGTGTGTAGAGCTTTATAAGAGATCTATGTGTGTTTTAGAGTAGATGGGAAGGTCACGAGAATAAAAGTAACACACACAGAGGAAGCTAAGCACAGCTATAGGAGATAAGAGAGAGAACGTATCAGAAAATGTATTTTATTGCTTTTAACAAGTACTAACGTCACTACTACAGAATATATCTTTAGGAGCGGGTATTTAAGAGAGCTTTTTAAATAAGCACTCTAAAATGTAAATGCAGAATTTACCGGAGCGCTTTTATAAATAAGCGCTCCTGTATGTCAGGCTTCTCAATAAGATAACGCTCCTAATTAATATAAATAAAATATTGTAAAAAATTTAAAAATACCTTTGAGAGCGCTCGTACTTAAGCGCTCTGGAAGATACTGTTTAATGTTGCTGCTATACACCAGAGGAAGCGATGCTGTGAAGACCACCGTTTTCGCCGTGCGTTGCTGCTGTACAGTGGAGGAAGCGATGTCGCTGCTGCCATGAATACCGCCTTTATCTGCCGTGAAGACTACACTTTGAAGTTATTTTTTTAATAATTAATTTATATATATTTAAGAATAAATTTAAATATTTTTTAATAATCAATATTATAGATAATATATGAATTGAAGTTATTTATATTAAAATTATGGAATAATTGTAGTTGATAATTTAGATTAAAGTTGAGGAAACTACTTGAACATTTTTATTTTATTTATGAAATATACTTTTAAGAGAGATTATTGTTATTAATTAAATTACAATTGATTGACAAAATTTAGATGCATTATGCTACTAAATTTTTATTTGGATGAATTGATTTTTTTAGTTTAAATGTATTATGTTGTGGAATTTGATTGTTTGATCATTTAAAAAGTTCTTCTTTTAAGGAAGATGTTGTTGAATTTTTTTTATAGAAATCTAAGTCTTTTGTTTATTGAATTTTGGTAATCATATTAGTGATATAGATCATAAGTGGATGTCAGCTAATCGACTATCTAGATAATATTGGGATGGTATGGATGAATTCATTGAATTTGTATTTTGTCGTGATTAAGACCCCCGTGGAGTCATATGTCCTTGTTTGAAATGTTGCTATGGAAAAAGAGTAAAGCCAATAGAATTGAAAGATCATTTAATATGTATTGGGATTGATCTAACTTATACTTGTTGGACCATGCATGGGGAGACAAGGAATAATGCATGTGATTGGAGGGATAGTGCAAGCTACTCAACATTTGATCGTGATAGTGGGATATATGATGTTGACCGTCTTGATGAAATGATTGATGTGATTGAAGAGGATCTTAGGGACTGTCTTGAGATATTTGAGAGATTGAAGAGTGATGCTGACAAACCATTATACCCTGGTTGTAAAAAATTCATAAAACTATCAGTTATTTTGAAACTATACAACCTAAAAGCAGCAAATATATGGAGCGATAAGAGTTTCATAGATTTGCTTGAACTCTTATATGAAATGTTACCCGAGTACAACGAGCTTCCACCTAATACTTACGAAGCTAAAAAAGTGCTCTGTTCTATTAGGATGAGCTATGAGAAGATACATGCATGTACAAATGATTGTGTCCTCTTTTAGAAAGAGTATTCAACCTTAAATAAGTGTCCAAAATGTGATGCATCACGGTACAAAAGAAATGGATGTAGCCCAGCGAAGGCATTGGTATTTTTCAATCATACCAAGATTTAGACACCTATACAGCATTGCAAAAGATGCTAAACACTTAACATGGCATGCTGATGAGAGAATTAAGGATGGCAAACTACGACTCCCTGTAGATTCTCCTCAATGGAAAAATTTTGATCTTATATACCCTGAGTTTGGGGTTGAAGATAGAAACTTACGCCTTGCACTAGCCACTGACGGAATGAACCCACATGGCATGCAAAGTAGTACTTATAGTACATGACTGGTTATTTTGATGATCTATAACCTTGCTCCAGCATTGTGCATGAAGCACAAATTTATGATACTGTCATTGTTGATTTCTGGGCCTTGACAACCAAGAAATGATATAATGTGTACTTAGCTCCTTTGATTGAAGATTTAAAGATTTTGTGGGAGACAGGTATGGAAGTTTATGATGGGTATAGAGAAGAACATTTTCATCCTGCAAGCAATGTTGTTTGGCACTATAAGTGACTTTCTTGCCTATGGCAATTTATCAAGATATAGTATCAAAAGATGAGATGCATGTCCAGTATGTGGGGAGCATACTTGTTCAGTGTGGTTGGAACATTGTAGGGAGAATGTCTTCATTGGTCATCGATGATTTTTGCCGCAAACGCATCATTACCGATAATTGAAGAAGGCCTTTAATGGCCACCCGGAGAAGGGTAGAGTTCCCATGCCATTAACAAGTGAGCAGCTCTTTAAAAAGGTTAAAGATTTAAATATTGAATTTAGAAAACCATTTACAAGTAAGATTGTTGAGAATAGTTGGAAAAAGAAGACCCTAGATGTTAGGCATTTCCTGGATGCAATACACATCGAAAAGAATGTCTGCGATAGTCTTGTTGGCACATTACTCCACATTTCAGGAAAGAGTAAGGACAGTATTAATGCAAGGATGACTTGATTAGTATGGGGTTAAGAGAAGAGTTGGCACTAGAGAGGAAGGGAAAATGCACTTTTTTACCTCCAGCAGCTCACACCTTGTTTAGAAAGGAAAAATTAGCTTTCTGTGAATTCTTGCATGAAGTTAAAGTGCCAGAAGGATATTCTTCAAATGTAAGTAGCCTCGTATCCATGAAAGACCTCAAACTAGTAGGTCTCAAGACTTATGATTGTCATATCATCATGGAAAATTTATTGCCAATTGGTATACATCCATTTTGCTGAAGAAGGTGCGAGCCACGATTACTAGATTTTGTTTCTTCTTTAAGGCACTTTGTAGCAAGGTGATTGACCTAGAAAAATTTCCAAAGCTAGAACATAAAATAGCTAAGATTTTAAGCGAGCTGGAAATGTATTTTTCGCCTTCGTTCTTTGACATCATGGTTCATTTATCATTTCACTTAGTTAGAGAGATAAAGTTGTGTTGCCCCGCTTATTTGAGATGGATGTACCAATAGAGCATTACTTGAAAGTATTAAAAGGATATGTAAAAAATCGAAGTTGGCCCGAGGGGTGTATTGTTGAGAGGTACATCATGAAAGAAGCAGTTGAATTATGCACTGGATATCTCTCTAATATGGATGCCATTGGGTTGCCAAAGTACACAAAAGACACCACAGGTGAACAGGGTGGAATCATTGGGAAGAAACTCATTAGCACAGACAAGACACAATGAGAGCAAGTTCACTTGTATGTTTTACACAACACTGAGGAAGTTCAACCATATATCAATAAACACAAGGCAATAGTTAAGAGTCAGAATAAAAGTAAAAATGAAATATGGCTAGCAACATATCACAATCCGGTACTTTATATTTTGGTTTAGAGCTCGCATCTCTGAGGAGTCTCACCCATCAGAAAGGTTGAGGTTTTGGCTAGGGGTCCCGAATTTGAAGTGTTTTCTTATACATGTTATGTAA